ATGCCGCAGGTTATTGTCATTCTGATGCAAAAATCCAAACGTTAGCCGTATCTAAGACCTAGAAAAGTAGATCAACTGCAATCAAACAAGTGGGTATATAAACTATTCTCCAATTTCAGCAAGTCAGTAGGCAACCTTCGTTTCTGGAAGAAGTGTTATTTGAAAGAACACCTCATCTGTTTCCTTTTCCACCTGCAAACCAAGAAAAAACCAGCCAAGAACGTTATTAGAAAATGAAATAACGATCACCTCCCACCCGATCTGAAGGTGGGGAGCAGAGAGAGAAAGATACAGACTGACTGACAGTGAGACAGACCTTTAACTCAACATTTACAACTGTGCACAGAATGTTGGAAGGTATATGGTAGATGGGCATTTTCAGATCATTATCAAGCTTTGAGAAGGCCTTAACCTACAAAGAATTTAGATAGTTAATACAAACTGAAAAGAAAACAAACGATTATTGTACAGCACTGAATACTCAGATCACAGGAATGAAACAGTGAAAGAGATACAGGAAAAAACAGAACCTGCTCGATGTGTTTGGGAGGTAGAAGACCTTCTCACCGACTCGAGGAACAGCAGCGAGGGGGCCCGCGCTTCTCAATTCCAATAGCCATTCATTCATCCAGCATGTCCCTTTCCCAGTCCTTGCTTATCACAACAAAGCTCTTCCAGTGTTCTTCTATCCCTCTTAAACGAAGCATGAAACCAAGAAAATCAAAGTTTTAAGCTCCAAGATTTTTATAACAGAGAAAAAAAAATATCGCTTAACTAAATGAAGAATGTTTGAGAAGGTAAACCCCATGCGTGAGTGAAAATAATGGAATGGAGTCACATGGGAGTGGAAAAGCCAGCAGTTCATGAAAGCTCAATCAAAAAAAGCAACGAAGAAAGCCCTCATTTTTTTGAGAGTGCTGATGAAGGTCTCAGTTCCATCATACTGCACCGCCCAGACCACTGGAACAGAGCAAAGGAGGGGATTCTGGGTTTGTTTCGCAACTCATGGCAGAGAAGATGAATAAAAAAATATAACCCTCTCTTTCCTCCGAAGAGAGGGAAAGAGTATGGACAATTGTTTTTCATGCAATGAAAAGGTATTGCCACTTGTTTTTCATGCAAAAAAAATATATATATATTTTTTCAATGAGATTGTAATTCACAATGTTAATTATTGTATTTTTTTTTCCTTTTTCTCATTTCTTATTTGGCTATGAGGATCAATTCCCTAAACATTGAGAACGTCATCTGTAGTCTTCCTTGGTCGACAAAGTAATCTACCGATTTGGAAATCTCTAATCCCAGTCCAGTGAAGTTAAATCAATCGGATAAGTACAAACGCATCCATTCAACAGGCTGAAACAACTAAAGAAATATGATTCTGATCATCAACTGAGTTAACGAAGCAAATCTCACAGTCGAATAAATTTCTAAACACCACAGATATTATAAATACGGCTAGGAAACAATTAAGCAAGAAATGTAATAGGATCTGCAACTCATTCAAGAAAAAGGAAACAGGATAAAACACGATGAGATGAATGGCCCTTTTAATAGTAAAATCAAGTGAAGAAAAAAAGAGAAATAAATAAACATAGAAACTATTGATTTTCCTCTTTAAATTACTGCCAACACGTTCGCTACTCCTAATTACCGACTCCAAAATCAATTACAGGGGTTTATTATCAACTATGGCGTCAACCAAACAATTACAGAGGATGGTTTCCCAGTACCTCATTGCCGCCTCTGTTGGTTGACAACCGGATGCAACATTAGAGAGAAGAAAACGAAAATGGAATATAAAGATAAAAGAAAAAAAAAAAGTTGCAGAGTAAGTTAGAACTTACCTGAGATGGGATTTTGGCCTGATCCGATCAAGAGAACAGGGGAGCTTCGGCTAAAATTATGGTTTGAAATAGATGGCTGCAGCTGGGGGAACAATTTCTGTTAAAGGGAAAACAAAGCAATGCTGACTGATGCCCGACCAATGTTTTAAAGAGGGTGATGCTGCCGGCGAAGAACTACTTTGGGAAACTGTAGACGAAGAAAGAGACGAGATTTAGACTTCTAGCAAATTCGTTCATGGCACCGTAGCTCTTGGAACTGAACCCTATGCATCCCAACAGTCCTTGCCTGTAAGGCAAAAAAGTTTTATTCTGCATCTCCTCCGCCTGAAGCAGTTCAAACCCTGAACATTTATGGCACCATAGCTCTTCTTGAGGAACTTGTTTTGATGGCACGCGTATAGTATTGTCGGTGGTGTATAGTCTCAATGGCAAGCAGGAGGAGAAACCTTGAAGAAGAAGCGATAGAAGTCCCCGGTTTTTCAGAGGAAGTAGAGAGAGAGAGAGAGAGAGAGAGAGAGAGCGGGAAGATAGACACGGAAGCTGGGAGAGAGAAAGAAATGTGTCAAAGGAAGAGAGAGAGGAGTAGTGAGACGAAGTGGTAAGTGGAAAATGGGGAGAGAGGGAAAAAAGTTCTGAAAACATGAGAAAAAAGTAAATACGCGTTGTACATGCAAAATAGAGGGAGAGACAAGTGGTTATTCTCATGCAAATTACACTTAATAAATAAATAACAGTATTGAACAGTAAGATTATGGAGAGCACCCCTTTCGCTTTTATATATATATATATATATATGATTGGTAGCTGAGACCTGATTCCTTCTCAACGAATTCAAATAAGTGACGGCAGTCTGCAGACTGCAGGTGCGAAAAAGGGCAGATCAATCTGGTTACGTCATGGGCTGGGCTTAAACACCCACCGCCACCAGAGTCCAGACTAGCCCGGTCCAGCTTCAGTCCACATACACCCGACCCATCACCATGTCCAATAGTCCATGTGCGAAGGCCGAAGAGCGAACATTGGAAAAAAACGAGCCAGCATTTGGTTCTCCCCACTCCCCACCGCGGCAGCAGCACCGCCCAACAATAACATTGGAAAAACCCTAACCTTTCCCGTCGTCGTGTCCCCTCAGCCACCCTCCGACGCCTCTGAACCATGTTTATCCTCCGAAAAAACCCAAAAGAGATCTTGAGGACACCTAATGCTTCCTTCTTCTACATCACCTCCCGTTGCCTCTGCAGCACCACCGATACTGATGAGAAAGCTAAACTAGAATTTACAGACCCGGATAAACCCACATCAGCTCACTACGACCAACTCGTCAACATCGCCGGTCATTCGAGAGACTTCACCACCCTCCACTATCTTCTCAACAAACGCACCAAGGACGGATGCTTCAACACCACCAATACCTTCAAATTCATCACCGGCGCCGAGGACGACCTCTCTGACCTGATACAGACCCTAAGTCGTCTTGACAAAGGCTTCGCCCGCAAGAGCGCCTTCGATGCCCTAATCGCTCGTTTCTGCAAATTGGACCAGACAGAAAGATCCCTTCGTCTCATTGATACAATGATTCGGGGCGAACACGGCATCAACGCCTGCACCTTCCACCCCATTCTCAACGCTTTGACAAGAAAGAAGAGCATGGAGGAGGCCCGGTGCGTATTAGCACTGATGAAAGACAATGGAATCACCCCGGACGTTACCTCTTACAACTACATACTGACCGCCTATTGCGTCGCCGGGGATTTAGAAGCTGCGGCCGGAGTCCTGAGAGAGATTCTGGAAGAAGGGTTGGAAGTGGACCCGAGAACGTACGACGCGATGGTATTGGGAGCATGTAAGGCAGGGAGGGTGGAAGGAGCATTGGCGCTGTTGAGGAGGATGGTGGATGACGGTGTTCCTGCGCTGTATTCTACGCATGCGCATGTCATTAATTGGTTGATGAAATTGGGTTGCTTTGGACAGGCGGTGGAGTTGGTGTTGAGTTATGGGGGAATAGATAAGGGGTTGGACACGGAGAACTTTGGATTCCTGGGTAGATGTTTGATGAGGGCGAGAAGGTTTAAGGAAGCCAAATTGGTGCTGGGGGAGATGGACAAGAGGGGTTTAGTGATGGGGCAAAAGTTAAGAACAGATTATGCGGAATTGCTACAGAAGCCCATCAAAGTCACCAAATGAGTTTGATTAATTACTAATCGATCGAAACATCCGATGTGATATAATTTGGTGTTGTTTGCTTTACGATTAATGAAGGACTTCATGAATGTGATGATGAGATTATACTTAATGCTTGGTTTTTTATTATTAGGCAGTCCCGGCTTCCGATTCCAACTCCATTTGACCATTGATATGAACTTTCTTTTAATGTATTTGGAATAGATAAGAGTGTCTCTTGTATCCATAATAGAAGAATTAAATACAAAGAGAATATGGAATTGATGTTATGATTTTTATTTCAATGGAGAAATGGACTTCGACATAGAACGGAGAGAGAGTAGATGTGATGATTTCCTTCGAGAACTTCACCACCTCCTGCAAATACATCCATGCTTCACCTTCTGCAAATAGATCCATGATTCATGCTTAAATTTTTAGTTTATCAACAATTTATGTCACATGGTTCAAGTCTCAACTTATGCAGTTTTTTAATGCAGTATAAACAATGTGAAAACTTGGTTTCTCTCTCCCAAAATTATCACTATAGGAGATGATTTAGGACTTCGCTTTATTTGCACAAGGGAATCAACCTTAGACTCCTAAAAAACGTCCAAAAGATGTACAAGTAACGCATTAAGCCCAGCAATGAATATCTTACTTTTCTTTTTCATCACATCCATCTCTATTATATCCAAACTCTAAAGACGTAACCTGTAATTGCAATTCAAAATCCAGAATAAGGTGCAGAGGTCCGGTAAAAACCCAAACCTGTCCAATTATTTCTGTGCTAAAACGATTAGAATTACTACTTTGCTCACGTCTGATGTCATTTTTCGCCAGTAGGCAGTATTCTTGCAAAATAAAAGACCATGTGAGTAATCCTGGTGACTTCAATTCAACCCACTAGTGAAGTATAGGAAATTTGATTCTAGCTGATAGAAAGAAGTAAACAAGTTACTCCACAAAATTTGACTTTGGTTCATTATGACAATCGTTTTTAAATCTATTAAAAAGTTCACCCCTTAAGCCCTATGATTACAATCATATCCCCAAGTGGGAGCAGATAATTGCAATGCAGTTTAAAGAAAAGCAAGAAAAACAAGATTGCAAGCATCTCCTTGAATATCTTCACCGCTGCCAAAAATAAACATGAAGACCACTCCCCTCATGTAGTATACAGCTGCATGAATGAGCATACCCGCACCTATGATGACTCAACATCGGAAAGATCCAACCCTTCTTTGTACAGCTCAAAATCATCGGGGCTCCACCTGCATATTAAGTGAAGGCGAAAAGTAGCCATTTTGATCCCAAGCAAACGCTGCAAATGAACAAAAATGAGAGCCTAATTAGATCATGCATTTAATAACATCAATCTAGGTCAATATAAACCTGATCGGGAGTTATTTAAACAAGGGATAACATCATTTTCTCCAGTCAAATTCTCAGCTCTTTAACCACCCAAATATTGCAATTTGAATGGATGATTAAGATCATGTCATTGCCCTAAAGAAAAATTACTTCATGCTATGTTAAATGCAATGATTATCCATATTGAATGAGACCGCCGGCACATAAAAAGATGCCACATGGAACTCATGTAGAATGTAAAGTTATATCCTTCCATTCATAACAGGTTCCATATAGCCTCTAAAAGATAGGTAAACCCCAAGAAAATTGACAGAGCTTCCATTTTAACTATGCACCAATTTCTGTAGGATATAAACAAACCAGTATGCGTGATGACTCGGGTGACAGTGGTTCTCCTTCTTCACACACGACAAAGTCAGACACGAGTTCCACCACACCTACAAAGAAATGATGAATAGAATCACCATCATATACATGTTCAACCCAATAGATGATTGAAAGGCGATGAGAAGTTGTCAACCACACCTTTGTTCAATCGAACAGGCATCCCTTGCTTGCGCAGAAATGGCTCCATTTCATGAGTAAACTGGTCCAAAGGACCTTCTTTAAGCTCCACCTGCAACAATCAAGGATGCCACCTTAAGCATTATTTTTTGCAGTGACAACTACCATAAATAGTAATCAATGTATCCAGATGGTACAAGGTGTATAAATTAAGTAAATATAATTTTGATTTACAAACATGAAACATCATCCAGTGTACATTCATATGCCAGGTAAAACTTGTAGTATTACAATCTATTGGAAAGGAATGAAGGTATGATAATATTAGGAAAAAAATGAGCCTATATTAGTATCTAAATGAAAATTGTGAATTTGATGCCTTTTGCAATTTTAGATAATTATACTGAACTTATTTGAGGATGGGCCTTGGCCCAACCATTGGGTTGTTCCATTGCGAAGTGGGTGACCAGTAGGGGTGTCAATTGGACCGGATTTGGTCCAATCCGATCCAGTCCAATGTGAGTCCATTATAAATGGACCAGGTCCAATCCGATCCAATGAATGTTTTGGACCAATTTGGACTGGTCCAATTCAATGTCTGGACCATCCAATCTGTTAAAGTTCATTTTGATTTAGATTGGTTTCAACCCAAACCCGGTCCATTGACACATATATTATTATCTTATATTAATGGACCAGATATTGGCTTAATCCAACCCAATCCAATATAAGTTTGTCACAGATGGATCAGGTCCAATCCAATCTAATAAATATTTTGGACCGGATTGGTCCAATCCAATATGTCTTGTTGGTCTGTCCAATCTGTCCAAATTGATTTTGAACTGGACGAGGTCCAATCCAAAACTGGTCCATTGACACCCTTAGTGACCAGGGTTCAAATCTTGGAAACAGCCTCTCTATATGTGCAGGAGTAAGGCTGCATACATCTGCCCCTCCCCAGACCCCGCATTGGCAGGAGCCTCATGCACTAGGTTGCCCTTTATACTGACAGTTTATTTATCTGCTATACATAAGAGTGTCAAGGGATTGCAGTTTCTGTTCTTGTTCAACCAAGCAAAGCACCTACATCATCATGTCTGTATAACAGGTCCTAAATAAGTCATGCATTCTCTGAACTGATGTACCAAATGCCAATGGTAGATCAAGTTGTCCTAAAGTACTCGTTAAATTAGATAAAAGAGTAAATAATGTTCATAATCTTTTCATTATTTTAGTTAGTAGCAATTATTTTTAAATGGTAGTTTGGCTTATAATAAAGCAAGAACTCAAGAGAAACAGCCAGAGGGCGGCAATTTATTGAGTGAGCTCTTATATGGGCAGAGATTTTAACCATTGTATTGTTTTCTGATGGAACATGTATCGGTACAAGAAGAGCAATGGGAGTTAGAAAGCTTCCAATTTGATGTCAGAATATTTCTGTCATCACTACCCATTAGCAAACTACCTTTTTATAGCCAAAGCCAATATCATTCCAAAAACCTTTAAAACCGTATTGCCTAGGCTAGATCTTTGAACTGTATTAAAATGAAAAGGACAACAATTTTAAAATGGCATGGCAATGATAATAACTGTATTTAGTTTCCATTAAACAAGTGGCTGAGAAACGAGATAGAAATAAACAGAATTGGTAACTAGCTCTTTAGTGCTCAGTAATCTACAACTTAACAAGAGAAAAGAGTGGAAATAATGGGTCCTTGCTCCCAAACCTTTTCAGTTGCAGTGCTTCCTGTCCTAGCAAAGTCATACTCTTCATATTGTTCAAACAATCTGCAAAACAAAGTGAAAAGAAGCTCAGAATCATGTAAAAACCAACATTAAACATGCAAATGACGACGGTCCTAACCTCCAAGAACAACAAAAAAGGAGTACATCTTATAGATGAAAGAATTTTTTGCAGTCTTTCAATTTTCCAAATAGCTTAAAAATGAAAATCATAACTTTCCCAAGGATCTAACTAGTATTATTCAGAGTATTACAGCCACATGTTAAAGGGATACCTTTCGACCTCTTCTTTTGGCAAGTTAGTGAAATAAAGTCCAGCATTTCCACGCAAGATCTGACATATAATAAGAAAATCATGTTAAGCGTGTAGAATAAGTATAAGTTGTTGGAGACATAAGACAGCTAGCATACCTTAGAAACTTTGTGAATGCCAGGCCTTACTTCATCAGCAATAGATCTTCCCAGAGATATTTGCATCACCTTGTTTGATCCCAGAAAAAATCTGGCATTAAGACAACAACAAATACAAATACACATTCAACTTTTATAATTTTAACAACATGCTGATTGAGCAATACTTTGTTCCTAGAATCCTAGGTAGCAAGCTTACAATTAATCAATAGCAAGAAAGCAGATAAGAATGGAAAACGCGGAATTGATTACCTGCTTGTGGATTTAAGCTGTTCCCTGAACTCCTTGAACTTGAGATTTCTCATGTTCTCAAAAGAGAAAACATATATTGAATTGTAATTGTCTATGGCCTGTCTTATTGAATTGACAATTGCTTCTTTGTGCTCCTTCCCCTTCTTCTTAGTCTTCGATAGTGTAACTGTCATTTCGCAATGCAATCAAAAATTAAAACTACAAAAAATGAATCAACTAGGAAAAAGGAAGACTAATATCATGTCTCTTGTAACCCTCATTACTGGTGTAGAAAACCCTAAAACCCATGAACGGAATCTGGTTGAGCTTTTCAAACAGATCACTCTGAGAAATCTAAGGAAGTCGATAAGATTTCTGAAACTAGCTCAATTTTAACAGTCCAAAGCTAAGCTACCCATGAAAAGTAGTAACAAAAAAAAAAAAACTGTAGATTTAAGCAAGAAGACATAGAAGAAAGACCGGATTTAGTGATTAGATATATTAGTGCTCGAGAAGAAGAGGACTAACCAGGCCTGTTACGCTTAGATTTCGGCATTCTTGAATAGATGAAGCGTATGCAAAGGCGGCTTCCCCTTCTGCCTTACGTTTCAAAACCCCTTCAACCAGGGGAGCTCCTCTTTGTGGGTTTAGGTTTATACGGAGGGATTGGTCCGCTGGACAAGACGTGCGGCAAAGTATAGGGTAATCAGCAATCTGGCGGGTTTGGTTGGATTAAATCCGTGTTCCACTCTAATGTTGCCCGACCCGCTAACCGCGATGTTAACCGAGTGACATTACCGAGTCGTAACGAACCCGTTTATCCTCAAATCAAAAATCGTCGGGACACGTTAAAAGGAGTTCACATCTCCGCCGTATATTAGGAATATCTCTGGATGATAGTACTAGAATTAATGATGTCTTTATCGGGAGATGTTTCTAATACATGGCGGAGACATTGTGGGGCGGATAAATGATCTCCCTTGAAAGCACATGCCACCCATTCAGCCGCACGTGGGACTCCGTGAATGCCATGCTTGTATGTAGCTGTAATAAAAAAAGGGTAAATTTTTTAAATTACCTTTATGATTTAGTTTATTGACTTGTTTATATATTGTCTTAAATACTTCTATTCTTATAATTGACATCGTCATTAAATATTAATGGCAAAAACAAAATTTTAATTTTGTCTTCCATTATTCCTCAAATTTTGAAAATAAAACCCAATGATAAAAAAAGAAAAATTTTCCCTCCTTCCATCGGTCATTTGTGCCACGAACTACTACCGGCATCACTAATAGTGTAGGTGTAGGCATATGTGCATTATACCAAATCGTTTTGCCTTTGATCAGTTTAACTAGTTTTGACTTTTGAATTTTAAAGTTTATTTTAAAAGCTTTCTTTTTGGAATAGACACTTGTGTCCATTTGGGTGACTGGAAACACTTTATAAATAGAGTGGTGGTCAACCCAGTTTCACACACCAAGTTCACAGTTTTGTCTGTTTCTTTCCTGAGCGTTATCTAGTGTCGTTTGCTAAGGTCTGGTAAACGAGTGCATGTCTACTAGTGCCTTGTGGGTTGTTTTATCATGATGACCGATTTGCAATCACCCGGCTGCACTATAGGCTCAGTTTGGAAGGAATACAAATACAAATATGTATTGTACAAATACATACAAAATATAAGATTTTGCACACAAATTTGTATTTGTACTCCTTCCAAACTGAGCAATAGGGGTAAATGTGGTTTTAAGGAGAGTGACCAAGCGGTGCGACTCAGCCCTCCCTTTCACTGCAAATCCTAGTTTCATCTTCATAGTTCTGCAACATTGCTGAAGTTTGGTTTGGAAAGTGTTCACTAATAAGTTCCATTTTGCCTTATTTACATTATTATTCCACCAATCTTAAAATCGCATTTATTGAACTTATCTCTGCTAATCCCATCATGAGAAATTAGATACTATCAACAGTTCTTGATTTCTCAATGATTGAACATTTCAATGGAACCAACTACAAGCGCTGGAGACATGCCTTCTGTTTGCCTTAAAATAGTTAGGGGTAGCTTCTGGTTTGACTAAATCAAAACCACTGAACATGGAAGAACCAGCCCGTTCTGTTGTTGTAGAACACTAGATCATTACCACCACCTTTACAAGAGCCATATGTGATTGCCTATGAAATTTGGATTGCTCTAGACAACAAATACACTCTGAAAAATGCTAGAAATAATATATATATATATATATATATATATATATATATATATATATATATATATA